CGGAGCAAGTGTCTCTCTTAAACACGAGCATAAAATGACACCCTAAAAATCAAATAATTATTTTCATTGATGCTTTAGATTTAAGTATGAAATTTAAAATGAATAAGTTGTAAGCTAATATAATGAATTAAGTTTGTAACATTCCACATGAAAGAATTATTTTTAAAAAAATTAACAGGATTTAATCACCATCAAGACTTGAATTCAAAATTAAAGATGGTTGCACGAATATTACGGCGATATTTACGACAACCATTGCTACATACACCGTGTAAATATTCAACTTCAAAACCACGTCTTTTCAGCACGTAATCGCCAAGTGCGCTGTGGGGAAAAGGATAACGTCATAAAAAAGTAACAAATGTAATGCTACTATTACGTCACAGAAGGCGCGATAGGCAAAGAGTTAAAGCATCACCATATTTTGAAATAGTCTCGGATGAGATAAAATGTTCCTTATATCTTCTCTTCTACATTTAACACATAAATATTAGTAAAGTACAATGTTTTAGATGTTTATAACGTTGAAATAAAAAAAAACATTTTTGTTGGTTTTTTTGTTTGTTTATAAACTTATGCCCCCCTCCCCTGTGAAACACAATAAACTTAAGCATGAGTTTGTGAAATGGCAGTCCAATAACCTGTATGATTTTTTGTTGTTTTATGGAGGGGGGTATATTTTTATTTGTTTTTCATTGATAAAAACGCAAGTTTTACCAAAACCATAGATTTATCTCTTTCTGTTTACCGAAATAATTGATTTTTTTTAATGAAAATTCATATCAGTATTGAAAATATTAAAAATTATTGGAATATATAAACGATTTTGAATTCTCATACAAAGTATGATAATGAGAGATTTGGTACTAAATCATTTGAAGAACTTGCAAACATTTTAATATCCAAATTCCATCTTTAAATTCAAAAGGTATCACGTCACATGTCAAAAGATAAAAAGAATGAACAGTGATCAATCATAAAATAAATTACATAAAAAAATCTGACAAATCTCTAAATAAATACACTGATGCTTAAAGAACTGCAAGCGTTCCATGTGTCTGTAAATAAAAGTACATAAAAATTGTCGTACTTGAAACTTTACATTTAACTAGACATCTGATCTAACCTTTTAAGATTTCAAAGATTTTTGGTCTTGACTTATTCTTGTTTTGTATACTGGACTTTATAAGGTTGATCACTGTTTTTATGTAAGTGTTATCAATTTTAACCGTTTTAATACATTACATGAACAGCAATCAAAACGAGATGTTGCACTGTGATTATGTTTATTATACACTCAAATAAACCCTGAATCAATACCAGATTCTGTGAAAAATTTAAAATACATTTGCTGAATTCGATAACGCAGATTACAGCAGATTTTTTTGTCATAATAAAATCAGATAAATACTATATATCAATTAGGACATAAAATAATAGATATTGACACAGGTCACTGAGTTATATCTCTTGAATTTAAATACAAATGATATTACTCTTTACATATCCACGTTTTTTATTATAGTGGATAATAACTTTTTAGCAATAATACATGTGCATATAGTTGCATACCAAAGTATAGGTATGAATCCATCTCTAAATATATGTGTCTAAGTAAAAATGTATATATTGTTATGGAATATCAGCAAATCATAAATAACATTCATACACTATTTGTGTCATAAAAACATTCATTACAAAGTTAAAAATCAAAGTAGTTCATCAGTTTTCGACAAATTAAAATAATTTAATGAATTCTCTCATATGCCTCTTTCATAGAGTTAATATAAAAGTATTAAAAAATAAGAGTTAAAAAAAAACAACTTTCTGTCAGTGGTCTTATTAAATTTTTCAAAATTACTAATTGCAACTATATACATTGACTGGTCCTGGGCTACATAGGTAGTAAGTAGCTGCACACACAGGACAAATGGGGTCAGGGGTTTTGGTGGGAAAATATTGACAAATGGCTATGTTTACTTTTGTATTTATTCCGTTTAGGAGTCAAGTTTTAAGCTTAGAGCTCTAGAGATTTCTAGACTTTAATTATAGTAAGTTGTTCCAAAATAACTTTATTTACATGGATAATGTTTAAATAAAACATATTTATTTAAAATCAAGTTTATCATTTAAAACTACTTCAAAACCTGGCATCTGAAAGAACATTTCTTAAAATTAAAATCAATATAAAAACAACATTATCACATAAGTATTAGGAAAGAGTTTCATCATGAATTTTTCTCAGCATTTCTGTCATGAAAATACAGAATTGATGAGGATTTAAGAAGGTCCCTAATGGCGCCGTTCTCTCAGAATATGAATCAGGTCTATATCACCTTGTTCAGCGGCAATGTCTATCACTGATTTACCTTGATTATCTTTTACTGCTAACAAGTCTGGATAATTCGTTGATAAATACCTACAAACATCATGTTTACTATTCAGACAAGCAACATGTAGTACACTTTCACCAACATTTGACAACGCATTGATGTCTAATCCTTTGTTTAATAGAAAAGATACTATGTCTAAACTTCCCCCACTGCAAGCTGAATGTAACGCTGTCCATCCTTTGTTGTCTCTTATCTTCATCAACTCTGAAAAGTGATTGACCAAATACTCACACATCTCCACTTTACCAGAACAACAACAGTGATGTAAAATTGATTCACCTTTTTCCTGTAGGGCATTGATGTCCATCTTTTTCTCAATCAATAGTTTTACTATTTGAACATTGCCTCCCCAGGCTGCATCATGCAACACTGTGTTACTAGATTTGTCTTTGACGTCTAATAGATGGGGATAATTCTCAACTAAGTACTCACAAACTTCAAACTTCCCATTGAGACATGCTATATGCAAGATAGATTTACCATAATTTGACAAGGTATTAATGTCCATTCCTTTTTCAATAAGAAAGGAAACAATTTCAACAATTCCTCCCCCGCAAGCTGAATGTAACACTGTCCTCCCCTTAGTGTCCTTTAACTTCAATAAATCTGGAAAATGATTGACCAAATGTTCACACATCTCCATTTTACCAGAACGACAGCACAGATGTAAAATTGTTTCACCATTTTCCCGTTTGGCACTGACGTCCATCTTTTTCTCAATCAATAGTTTTGCTATTTGAACATTGCCTCCCAAGGCTGCGTCATGCAACACTTTGTTACTAGATTTGTCTTTCATCGCTAATAGATGGGGATAATTCTCAATTAAGTACTCACAAATTTCAAACTTCCCATTTAGACAAGCTATATGCAAGATAGTTTTACCATCATTCGACAAGGCATTGTTGTCTAATCCTTTATTAAGTAGAAAAATCACTATTTCTACACTTCCTCCCCAGCAGGCAGAATGTAAAACTGTCCATCCTCTATTGTCCCTTATCCCCAAAAAATCTGGAAAATGGTTGACCAAATACTCACACATCCTCATTTTACCAGAACGACAACATTGATGTAAAATTGTTTCACCGTCTTCCTGTCGGGAAAAGATGTTCATTTTCTTCTCAATCAGTAATTTTACTTTTTTAACATTTCCTTCTCGGGCTGCATCATGCAACACTGTATTACTACATTTGTCTCTGGCATCTAAAAGTTGGGGATAATTCTCAACTAAGTATTTATAAACTTCAAACTTTCCATTGAGACAGGCTCTATGGAGAATATTTTTCCCATTATTTGACAAAGCATTGGTATCTAATCCTTTATTGAGTAGAAAAGACACAATTTCTACACTTCCTCCGCTGCAAGCTGAATGTAACACTGTCCACCCCTCAGTGTCCTTTATCTCCAATAACTCTGGAAAATGATTGACCAAATACTCACACATCTCCATTTTACCAGAGCGACAACATTGATGTAAAATTGTTTCACCATCTTCCTGTATTGTATTGACATCCATCTTTTTCTCAATCAGTAGTTTTACTATTTGAACATTACTTCTCCAGGCTGCAGCATGTAACACTGTGTTACTAGATTTGTCCTTGACCTCTAATAGATGGGGATAATTATTAACTAAGTACTCACAAACTTCAATCTTTCCATTGAGACAAGCTATATGCAAGATAGTTTTACCACCATTTGACAAGGCATTGAAATCCATCCCTTTCTCTATAAGAAAAGAGACAATTACCACACTTCCCTCACAGCAAGCTGAATGTAACACTGTCAATCCGTCATTGTCCCTTATCTCCAATAAATCTGGAAAATGATTAGCCAAATACTCACACATCTCCATTTCACCAAAAAGACAGCACTGATGTAAAGAACAAGGGGCGTTTTGGCCGTTTAAATGCCGCGTGTTGAAATTTACTTTTAATTTTCGAGGAGGAAAGCCAAAACAATTTCCTTTCAGATGATATATATCAGTATATGTTTATTTTTTAAATATTATTAAAAAAATTGCCTGGAAATGCCGTTGTTTGGAACTTAACGTCGCCATTTTAGCGTTGACGTTATACACGTCAATTGTAAAGGTGCTGTGATAAATCCATACACATATCAGTATAACACAATTCGTATCGTTTTAATCAATGTAAAATAAAAAGAGGGAAAAACATAATTATAAATAGAAAATAATTTTCTTTAATGATCATTAATTATCATCTTTAATAATCATTAATTAATAATAATTTGAACAATTTTTGATCGAATATGTAACACAGACCATTCATCCATTCATTCATAATTTCAAACACCAACAAGTATTACGCTGCTGTAAAAGAAGCATAAGGACGATCTATATATCGTGAAAATAATCATATACATGTCCTAAGTATTTTAGGTATTTCAGTTGGAAATTTCTTTCAATGATAAATAATATCGATAAATGTGAAATATATCACTGCCAGAAAATAAATGTAACTAGCTTATGTAGACAATCTATTCTTCAGTTGAGCTCTCCTCGCCGCTGTCAGAATCGTCGATCACGCGAGCTGCGTCCTCGAGGTGTTCTGACCAATCACGCACTAACTGCACGGGCTTATCCTGGTGTCGGGCATGCGATAAAAACCAAATTACGCTTGTTATATGTCCGCAGCAACCAACAATGCGTGCGCCGGCTTTACACTTACAGTACCATGATATGACAACACCATCTTCGTACTTTACCCAACAGGAGTACTTTTTGGAACTGACATGACGACTCTGAATTTTGGCTCCAATAATACCATCCAGGTCCTCGTTCACAAGAATTTCGTATGTACCGTCATCCTGTAGGTGTTCCTGAGTGTATGCTTTTGCCATTTTTACTTGGTACACTCCTAGCGTTAACTGGCGAATTTCGGAATCAGACAGTTTAGGGAAGTCTTGCGCAAAACCGGCTGCGTCAATTTTTTGCCATGAATATGTCCTGTTTGACAGTCCATTACTTTCTACAAATTCCTGTAGCTCGTTTGTCCGCTTGGAGAGATGCAGCATTTTTAGGGCCATGGCCTGATCCTCTTCCGCATTGCCAGAACTTAAGACGGAAGTAAATCTGTTGCAGAGGGCACACACGATTCTTACGTAGTCGCCAATGAAGGGAATCTGTGTATTTGGTATGACATGATTCAGATATTTCCATCTCTTCAACCTCGCATTGGCTGATTCGACAACCCACCGCACCTTTAAAATTGATTTGAATTTAATTATTTAAACAAAGCACCCATTTTTATAATGATGTAAAATATTTCATAAATACTAGAAGACAAGTACAATGTACAAATGTACAGGAAATTAAATGTAAAATTATAGTAATAATAGTTAAAATACCTTGGTTATTAAGCGTGATTGGTTAGCTTCCTGTGTGGTGTGTTGAGATGTGCCCCTCTGCAAAAAGCAAGGCATTTCCATGTTGACACCAATGTCGCCAAGCACCTCCGAACTATCCCGGAATCCACGATCTACGATGAACGTGTCACCATCCTGTAGCCAGTCTCGCATTTCTTCTGTGTTGTTCCGGATCATGTGGTTTAAGATTCCGGCATCGTTGTTCTTCGAGTCGGCAAGGTACGGCCCCAGGACAGATACCACATATCCTGACGTAGTTACTACCATCATCGGTTTCACTAATGGCCTGTGTTTGTGCATACTGAAGGAGCGCCTTGAAAATCTGAAGTTACATGATTTCTGTATATAAATGTACGTCCCGTCAAGAACAAGTAGGACAGGTGGGTCTTGTTCATAACCAGGAGAAAAAAGCTCTTTAGCCAGTGGTCTAGTGTGGTTAGATTTTACGTCTTCTCTAGTGAGATGGCCAAATCCAAGATTCTGAGGGACAAAATCTTTTAATAATGCCCTCCGTGCAGACGATATAGCACGACGAATCTAAAATTCAAAGTAAGAGCATTTATAAACTTATTACTTGTAATTGATTTCTTATTGATTTCTAACTTTATAAGAAGATGGGCGAACAAGGCGGGCAGAATGCCTATAGCGTCAGATATTAAGAACTCATATCAAATATGTGAATTGATTATTTTAATTAACGTCTAATTATTGAAATATTTGAAATTAAGTGAAAAAATAACTTTTCTGAGAGAGAGAAAAAAATCTCGTAAAAAAATTTCTTTCATAAAATTATAAGATGGTATTCGTGGGATTCGAACCCTAGCGACAAAAATCCGATGTACATGTATCAATAGCATATTGTTATGAGACTAACGCGTTAACCACTATGCTACACCGCTCATGATGATTTCAGGCATTTAAATCATGTTTGTGATATGACCCGCGACTTAATGGACTTGAAGTATTTCTCGGAAAGATGCTAATGTTGTGTCATAAAAGTGTACTTTTAAGGTATAGTGGGTCTTCGCTCCATGTTTTTGAAAACCAAAAAAATGTGTATTTTATTGCACACTTTTAGGACCATCTTTCAAAAAATGGAGAGAAGACCCACCCATATTGAAAAATTTTGTTTTAAGTATGAGAAAATGATCGTTTTTGTTCTTTTTAGTGTGTGTAAGCTTTTCCATAGGCAATTATTTTTAGTCTTTGTGAGATTTTTGTAAATTGTAGAGATTTTACATAAAGTATACTTTAATATTAGAAGAAATATCAAGTAAAATTTGGATTCAGTTGAGATTAAAATTTTCACTTCTTATCTGTCGCAGTATAGGCATTCTGCCCGCCTTATTCGCCCATCTTCTTTATAAAATCATTGATTAATTTTTCAGTCTTAATTAAATATATTACCTGCCATTTGTTCATGTTGAAAAGGGTACACATAATCTTGTTTTCAAGGCCACATCTAAGTTTGACGAGCAATACAGCAATGCAGGTTCTAATACTTCTAGATTTAGAAGTCTTTATATCTTGATTGTAGCTGACAACCTCGTTAAATTGTCTTCTGTCTAAACCCGTAAGATTGATGTAATCCTGATCAGACATATTGGAATCATTGTCGAAGTCAAGTCGAACAGAACCATTGCGTTTTGCAACATCTCGCAAGCTTTCAAGAAACTCGGCAAGACCAATTTCATCGAAGAACGTGTAACAGCGAAGACTTGATGAAACACCCGATTTTAAGACGTCTTCAACAAAATAACCATTATGAATATGGCACGGGCAGCACCTAGCCCCAGGCTTCATAAAAATGAAATTTTGCACGAACATCTCACACCTTGCTTTTTCTGGAACAACAACTAGTTTGCGGGCCTTTTTCTCACATATGACACATGCATCATGTCGGTATCCTGCAGAAGACACCGGTATTGTAATCGGTGGAACACTGTTTTCTTTTTTGGCACTACATGTATCAGAAGCAATGGGTGTTCTAAATGTAAGAATATTAGATCGTGTAAAGTAGTACTGTTGTCTACATCGATTACAGACAATGTCATTCTCAAGTATGTCCGTAACAAAAGCCTTTTGATAAAAACTTTCTGAGGCCATTATTTTTCTTTCCGTGCAGAAATCTCCCCTCATTTTTCTTTAATCGCTTATGGCATCCAACGCATGAGTATGCTTTGATTTTCGACATATTTATCTGAAAATAATACAAGGACATTAATTGTATATCATTATTGTCGCTTTAAGTACATTAAGCTAATTTTGTCAAGCATTCCAAAGTCATCAGGTATGGATCCACGATTTCGATTTGAAAGGGGGATGGGAGGGGGAATAATCATTTGATAAGGCAGTGTCTACATGTCGCCTTCAGGAAAGTACTCCTACCTTTTAAGGCGCCACATCGAAAACTGACTACTGGAAATGAACTTCTTTGTAGTTTCAGACTTATAATTTTTCTTTTGAGAATGATTTTTTAAAGAATTTTCTTGCAGTGCATTTTAAAAATGTTTGGTCCCCGTGCCTTATAAATTTTAACGTGTTCTCATTTTGTTTTATAGGACATCGGAAGAAACTTCTTAGCCCCCCCCCCCCCCAATGCGTTATTACTTCGTTCCCAAAACAGAGTGAAAAGTGCAGTGGTGTGGATAGGGACCAGGAAAGAAATTTCCTGGGATAGAAGTTCTTTTTTCTTTAACTTTAACAAAATAAAACTTTTATTGACCTCGTCGTCGTGGAAAATGACCGGTATTTCTTGGCTTGGATATTATAACTTTTCTATTAACTGAAGTTGAGGACGGGATTCGGGTATGATAAGCTGTATAATATAAAGTTATGAAAATGTGAGACCATCTGTCCCAGGATAAATTGTCGCCGCACGAGGCTCTGTTTACATAAGGCACTGTATACATGTATTTCTTTATCATGCATACGTGCTTGTCATTTTATTTTCTAAAAGACACGTATTTCATTGTAACGGTAAAACAAATACTTTAAAAAGTTTAGAAATAACAAATACGCATTCAGTAAACAGCACTGCTGATCTATATTATATTAACATGTACACTGATTATGTTTACATGTAATTCTATAAAAGACACATAACTATAAAGGATCTGATTAAGAAAGTTCTGAAGAAAAAAAAACGTGTTATATAATCGATACGTAAGGAGAAGTATATTGAAATTCAAACGTCTTTCTTTGCATGTGAAAAAAAAATGGGGGGGGGGGATTTTTTGTTCTTTTTTGGGGGCTTTGAAACTTCTCTCTAAAAAAAGGAAATCTGCATTTGTATAACTGTTATTCTAAGATCCTATAACAAAGAACACTGTAGTTACACTGTATCATAGTGTCGATGGTTATAAAAACATCATGTTTATCTCTATTGTAATATCTGTAATATTTATACACGTTCAATGTTTCAGAATATGTCATGACCCTGCAGCGAATGTCAGTAAGTAACTCTATAGAACATAACCCACGGGAGGGGGGGGGGGGGGGCATGGCATTTGCAGTTATTAAGTGTCACTCTGTACCATCGGCTCATACATTGAAAGTGTCTGAGAGAGGAATGTACGACAACTCTGTATAGGAAATTAATTAATAATTATATACACCAAAGCAAGTAAAAGTGACCTTGAACCACACACCCTCCTCCTCTTAGAGCACGCAGACACTTCCCCGGAAACGCGGTTATTTGTGATTTAGGTATACTGGTGTCTCATAATATCGCGATACTGAATCCTTTTGCATAAAAAGTGTTATTCCAATTTTTAACTTTTACTTTCATCAAATACTATCCATAAACCAATCTATGGCCTAGCGTTTTAGTGTCAACTTATTTCTCAAGTATGCATTGTTTAATTTGTCTATTTTTAAAACGGGAAGTCTAATTTACCTCCTAAATTGTAGAGTCTCGTAGTATCGCGGTATACGAAAATGTGGAAACTTGTGGCTGACATGGACTTCAATTTCTCTTTTTTTATATTTACGGTGTATTTCTACATAAAAAATAAACATTAATACAATCTAAACACTTTCGAAACATGAATTTTATTCTGACTTTTACTAGGTTATAAAATCAATGATCTAGATATGATATAAACGGGAATGGAAATGTGTAAAATTACGTTTTATTTGAATAAAAAAATTACCGACACATATTCCAAACTTTTAAATCGCCACAAAAATTTACATTCGGACGACAAAACAGATTTTTGGAATATAGCGCGATACAATTATTATGATACCCCGGGATACAAGGAAATTTCTGGATTTATTTTTTTAATAGAAAGTACACCCCCCCCCCCTTAGAAATTATTCCTAGATCCGTGCCTGTTATAAGTGAAAGAGGACCTTATGACAGAAACGTTACACCTCACCAACTCCTAGCTTTTGAATGTAGTACTTTTATTTTAATTAATAAATATTAAGAACTTTCCTTTACTTTTTATCTGTTACAACAAAAAGTAAAGAGGCGCTTCTAGCATTTCGAGGACATTTTGAGTCGGAAAAGGTTACGTTTGGGGAAAAAAAAGTGGGGAGGGGGCAGGTCCCCCTGATACTACGCGCTGATATACTTTTTTTAAAAATATACATACTTGTACAATACCAGTATCATCGAAGATGAGAGACGTATGGTAATTAAATAAAATATATAATGCAAATCTTTAAAACTGTGTTGTTGATTTAATATATTGAACTTGATATCTGCAGGTTAACACTCGTAATGTTTTGAAGTCACTCATCACAATTTATGATTTACGTTACTTGACAGAACTTTTTAGAGTCGTCCTGTATTTTATTCAATGGATTGACTCTGTTAGGGAAATTCAATACACATTTTCGCTAGAAAAATTCTTCTCAAAGGGTGTAAAATGTAAGGTGAAATATAATTTGTATCTTTTAATTAGTCATGTACTTGGCTGGATTTGTACTGGCTAAGGGTTGTCAATCATACATAAGTGTTGAATATTGAATCATGTTTTCGATAGTTAATTAAGAATAAAGCCATTAATAACATACTTACGTGAAATCATCAACAGGTAGGCACCATTCTTCTAGGTTAATAACAATACAATTCTTCAAATCTGCAACTGTAATCTTCGGCAGTTCATTTGAATAACGGTTTCCAAGGTGATTATAAATCGAAGAAAAAGTTGAAATGTTTAAGAAATTCTGCAAATTCCGTGAACATTTTCTGTAATTTTCATAGGGAGCGCAGATGACAACCAACACCAAATTTGGCATACAGTAAGAAGAAGTAATATTGCATCCGTGTATCAAATATAAAATTGGTTGTTACATGCGCTGGTGTTGAAAATTACGATGAAATGTTCAATTTAATGCATTTTTTCTTATTTTACATTGAACGCACTGCTTTTGGCGCGCTATTATGACGTCATAGTAAGTCATACGTCATTTTCTAATAGATGTGAATAAAGTACATAGCCTTGCCAGTTTATTGAACAACATTGATGCATGAAATATGGGAGATAAAAATAAACGAAAATCCAAGGCCATAATATGTAAATACTGCTCCTAGTTCTTGTTTCACCACCTTCCTGTAGGGCATTGATGTCCATCTTTTTCTCAATCAGTAGTTTGACTATTTGAACATTGCCTCCCCAGGCTGCATTGTGCAACACTGTCTCACCAGATTTGTCCTTGACCTCTAATAGATGGGGATAATTATTAACTAAGTACTCACAAACTTCAAACTTCCCATTGAGACATGCTATATGCAAGATAGATTTACCATAATTTGACAAGGTATTAATGTCCATTCCTTTTTCAATAAGAAAGGAAACAATTTCAACAATTCCTCCCCCGCAAGCTGAATGTAACACTGTCCTCCCCTTAGTGTCCTTTAACTTCAATAAATCTGGAAAATGATTGACCAAATGTTCACACATCTCCATTTTTCCAGAACGACAGCACAGATGTAAAATTGTTTCACCGTCTCCCTGTAGGGCATTGATGTCCATCTTTTTCTCAATCAACAGTTTTACTATTTGAACATTGCCTCCCCAGGCTGCAGCATGCAACACTGTATTACTAGATTTGTCTATGTGTAGACGGTGTTTATGTTAAAGGTAATCACGTGTGTAGACGGCGTCTATGTTAAAGGTTATCACGGGTGTAGATGATGTTTATGTTAAAGATCATCACGTGTAAAGTTGGTGTTTATGTTAAAGGTAAACACGAGTGTAGGCTTTTTTTATGTTAAAGGTATTCACGTGTGTAGGCAGTGTTTATGTAAAAGGTAATCATGTGTGTAGGCGGTGTTTATGTTGAAGGTAATCACTTGTGCAGGCGGTTTTTAATGTTAAAGGTAATCACGTGTAAAGTTGGTGTTTATGTTAAAGGTAATCATATGTGTAGACGGTGTTTATGTTAAATGTAATCATGTGTGTAGAAGGTGTTTACGTTAGAGGTCATCACGTGTGTAGACGGCGTCTATGTTAAAGGTAATCACGTGTGTAGATGAGATTTATGTTAAAGGTAATCACGTGTGCAGACTGTGTTTATATTAAAGGTAATCACGTGTAAAGTTGGTGTTTATGTTAAAGGTAATCATATGTGTAGAGCGTCTATGTTAAAGGTTATCACGGGTGTAGATGATGTTTATGTTAAAGATCATCACGTGTAAAGTTAGTGTTTATGTTAAAGGTAATCATATGTGTAGACGGTGTTTATGTAAAAGGTAATCATGTGTGTAGGTGGTGTTTATGTTAAAGGTAATCACGTGTGTAGGCGGTGTTCATGTTAAAGGTAATCACGTGTTAAATTGGTGTTTATGTTATAGGTAATCATATGTGTAGACGGTGTTTATGTTAAAGATAACCACGTGTGTAGACGGTGTTTATGTTAAAGGTAATCACGTGTGTAGGCGGTGTTTATGTTAAAGGTAATCACGTGTGTAGTCGGTGTGTATGTTAAAGGTAATCACGTGTGTAGACGGTGTTTATGTTAATGGTAATCACGTGTGTAGGTGGTGTTTATGTTAAAGGTAATCACGTGTGTAGTCGGTGTGTATGTTAAAGGTAATCACGTGTGTAGTCGGTGTGTATGTTAAAGGTAATCACGTGTGTAGTCGGTGTGTATGTTAAAGGTTATTAAGTGTTTAGGCGGTGTTTATGTAAAAGGTAATCATTGTGTAGGCGGTGTTTATGTTAAAGGTAATCACATATGTTGGCGTTGCTTATATTAAAGATAATCACGTGTATAGGCGGTGCTTATGTAGGTAGACTAGAAATCTGACATACAGTCGCCTTTAATGTTAATGACTGATCCCACCTCTGATGTTTCGGAGGTCCTCGTTTGCTCTGCTCCTATTTTGTATTGTTTTATGGATATGCATATCCTTCATAAAAAACCAATATTTGTTTGAAGACAGAAATGAACTTAACTCTGTCACTAGAAAACGCAAAAATTTGCAAAACTTATTAACAAGTTTTTACCGTATAAACAGATTTTTTAGCGAAGATTTCATTTGTGCATTATTAGCGCCGGTGCCAGGATCGCTGAAATTTAATATCACTAAAATTAATTGCACTTATTTGTATTGCTTTTAAAGCTTTTTAAAATCACTAAAAGTACATTTCGCTAAAAATAAAATACCAAAGTTTAAGGACATTTCGCTGAGATTTCAACTTAAACGGTATATATATTTTCAATCTTAAATCCATTTAACTTTTTATCTACGTTTTCATTATTTTTTTTCTAAATATTGATGCTTCTGGATTATTACTTTTTTCTGTCAAGAAATTGGAATGACGTCTCGGTCATGGATGTTCCTTACGTTAAAAAGAACAATAAGTAATGGGATAAACCTTTTCAATCCGTGATTTGATGTTTCATATGACATAATATTATATTATATATTATATAACTTTCATAATATCAATGAGTCCTGTATATAAAAGGTTAACTATTTATTAATGCTAAGCTTTGTAGCAAAATTAATGATTGAGTAATACAATATATTTTTCGGTGATTTTTTTTTAGAGAAAGAAGAAGAAGACAATGAACAACAAATTTAATTGTTCCAAAGATTTTAAATCTGTTTTTTTCCTGAATAAATCAACCGTATCTACTCCAATTCATCTTATTATAGTTTTTTTTATGTTCTGAGTTAAATAATCAAATATATGCTTCAAATATCTTTTTATTAAACTTATTCAAAGTGTAATGGTTATTATGATTTACATTCTACCACTAGATCCTGTGTATAACATTATTGTTAGGATTAATGACTTATATTCTCTTTTAAATATTTGTAAATTTTTAAGTTTTAATTTTATCAAATTTTGCATGAAAATTATGCCTAGCGTCTACAATTGACATTTAGACTTTTAACAGCATTATCATGCTAAATTATAGATCATCATATTAAAAGTCGAAAATTAACACTCGCGAAAAAAAAATTCTGAAGAGATTTACACAGACTGGATACGTTTTCTTTAATTTGGAATGTAAACTATATAGATGTCAACTGATTGTTTGCAATCTGATGCCAAGAACTAGTCAAACTGTATTAAATGATAATATACCCAACCCAAGAACCAAAGAATTTTACAAAGAGGTATTCAAATTACAAAATCATCTTTCATCAATTACAGTTGGCAAGAACTATGGTTTCGCTTTGCGATTAGGAATCCAGTGTTCGGATGCTGCATCGTGTTCTTACATAAATTATAAGCAAGTATAATAATTAAATCTTTGGCAAGCGCCGGGCATTATAAGGTGAGGGTCGGTAGGACCTCGATAACCGAAAACCTGAGTCTCGTCAGGCGGTAGCAAGATAACCATCCCTCACAGCACAAAAGCTTTGTGTGCAGAAAATAAGTCCATAATATCTGACGTTTTTCAGGTGCTTTTCTAGATTTTGATATTTGACATGCATCAAAAACTTCAAATAAACCGGAGCAAAAGTGAGAAAGTTGAAACTCACCTCTCCCGACCAGAGATGCATCTGTTATCCCTTATTAGCAAGTTTGAAGCAAAGTTAAGGGCGGCGAAAGTTTCATTTCCCATAATGGCAGTGGTTCTCTAGAGATGTGCAATGTGGTACTGTGAGCTTAAGAAAAAAAAATACAGAGTCTGACACGTCTGTTTCCTATTTAAATATGTTACTTTAAAAAAGCGTTAATGGTAATCTAACAACCGAGCTCTATGATAAATGTGATATATTTTTAAAACTCTTCAATCGTCAACTTCCCTTACTTATACACCAATATACATTCATCACATGCATCAGAAATTTACACATCTCATGTAATTTGGCCATAAAATCTTTAATACAAAGAACTGCTCAATGGTAATGGGATTAACTATTTAACACTAGCACTAAATATTAAATTATCCTTAAATCCAGGTCTTGAAAAAGAGGGTAGACGAAATTCAATTTAAATTTATTTTAAAGCATCACCATATTTTGAAATAGTCTCGGATGAGATAAAATGTTCCTCATATCTTCTTTTCTACGTTTAACACATAAATATTAGCAAAGTACAATGTTTGAGTTGTTTATAACTTTGAAATTAAAAATAAAAAAAAACATTTTTGTTGGTTTTTTTTTTGTTTGTTTATAAACTTATGCCCCCCTCCCCTGTGAAACACAATAAACTTAAGCATGAGTTTGTGAAATGGCAGTCCAATAACCTGTATGATTTTTTGTTGTTCTTTTATGGAGGGGGGGTATATTTTCATTCGTTTTTCATTGATAGAAACGCAAGTTTTACCAAAATCATAGATTTATCTCTTTCTGTTTTCCGAAATAATTGATTTTTTTTAATGAAAATTCATATAAGTATTGAAAATATTAAAAATTTTTGGAATATATAAACGATTTTGAATTCTCATACAAAGTATGATAATGAGAGATTTGGTACTAAATCATTTGAAGAACTTGCAAACATTTTAATATCCAAATTCCATCTTTAAATTCAAAAGGTATCACGTCACATGTCAAAAGATAAAAAGAATGAACAGTGATCAATCTAAAAATAAATTACATAAAAAAAAATCTGACAAATCTCTAAATAAATACACTGATGCTTAAAAAACTGCAAGCGTTCCATGTGTCTGTAAATAAAAGTACATAAAAATTGTCGTACTTGAAACTTTACATTTAACTAGACATCTGATCAAACCTTTTAAGATTTCAAAGATTTTTGTTCTTGACTTATTCTTGTTTTGTATACTGGACTTTATAAGGTTGATTTTTATGTAAGTGTTATCAATTTTAACCGTTTTAATACATTACATGAACAGCAATCAAAACGAGATGTTGCACTGTGATTATGTTTATTATACACTCAAATAAACCCTGAATCAATACCAGATTCTGTGAAAAATTTAAAATACATTTGCTGAATTCGATAACACAGATTACAGCAGATTTTATTGTCATAATAAAATCAGATAAATACTATATATCAATTAGGACATAAAATAATAGATATTGACACAGGTCACTGAGTTATATCTCTTGAATTTAAATACAAATGATATTATTCTTTACATATCCACGTTTTTTATTATAGTGGATAATAACTTTCTGGCAATAATACATGTGCAAATAGTTGCATACCAAAGTATAGGTATGAATCCATCTCTAAATATATGTGTCTAAGTAAAAATGTATATATTGTTATAGAATATCAGCAAATCATAAATAACATTCATACACTATTTGTGTCATAAAAACATTCATTACAAAGTTAACAATCAAAGTAGTTCATCAGTTTTCGACAAATTAAAATAATTTAATGAATTCTCTCATATGCCTCTTTCATAGAGTTAATATAAAAGTATTAAAAAATAAGAGTTTTAAAAAAAAACAACTTTCTGTCAGTGGTCTTATTAAATTTTTCAAAATTACTAATTGCAACTATATACATTGACTGGTCCTGGGCTACATAGGTAGTAAGTAGCTGCACACACACACAATGGGGTCAAGGGGTTTTGGTGGGAAAATATTTACAAATGGCTATGTTTACTTTTGTATTTATTCAGTTTAAGAGTAAAGTTTTAAGTTTAGAGCTCTAGAGATTTCTAGACTTTAATTATAGTAAGTTGTTCCAAAATAACTTTATTTACATGGATAATGTTTAAATAAAACATATTTATTTAAAATCAAGTTTATCATTTAAAACTACTTCAAAACCTGGCATCTGAAAGAACATTTCTTAAAATTAAAATCAATATAAAAACAACATTATCACATAAGTATTAGGAAAGAGTTTCATCATGAATTTTTCTCAGCATTTCTGTCATGAAAATATAGAATTGATGAGGATTTAAGAAGGTTCCTAATGGCGACTTTCTCTCAAAATATGAATCAGGTCTATGTCACCTTGTTCAGCGGCAATGACTATCACTGATTTACCTTGTTTATCTTTTACTGCTAACAAGTCTGGATAATTCGTTAATAAATACCTACAAACATCATGTTTACTATTCAGACAAGCAACATGTAGTACACTTTCACCAACATTTGACAACGCATTGATGTCTAATCCTTTGTTTAATAGAAAAGAAACTATGTCTACATTTCCACCCAAGCAAGCTGAATGTAACACTGTCCATCCTCTATTGTCCCTTATCTCCAATAAATCTGGAAACTGATTGAACAAATACTCACACATCTCCATTTTACCAGAACAACAACAGTGATGTAAAATTGATTCACCTTTTTCCTGTAGGGCATTGATGTCAATCTTTTTCTCAATCAATAGTTTTACTATTTGAACATTGCCTCCCCAGGCGACATCATGTAACACTGTGTTACTAGATTTGTCTTTGACGTCTAATAGATGGGGACAATTCTCAACTAAGTACTCACAAACTTCAAACTTCCCATTGAGACAGGTTATATGCAGGATACTTTTACCATCATCTGACAAGGTATTATTGCTCATTCCTTTTTCTATAAGAAAGGAAACAATTTCAACACTTCCTCCCCAGCAAGCTGAATGTAACACTGTTTGTCCTCTATTGTCTTTTATTTCCAATAAATCTGGAAAATGATTGACCAAATGTTCACACATCTCCATTTTACCAGAACGACAGCACTGATGTAAAATTGTTTCACCATCTCCATGTAGAGCATTGACGTCCATCTTTTTCTCAATCAGTAGTTTTACTATTTGAACATTGCCTCCCCAGGCTGCGTCATGTAACACTGAGTTACTAGATTTGTCTTTCATCGCTAATAGATGGGGATAATTCTCAATTAAGTACTCACAAATTTCAAACTTCCCATTGAGACAAGCTATATGCAAGATAGTTTTACCATCATTCGACAAGGCATTGTTGTCTAATCCTTTATTAAGTAGAAAAATCAATTTCTACACTTCCTCCCCAGCAGGCTGAATGTAACACTGTCCATTCCTCTATTGTCCCTTATCCCCAATAACTCTGAAAACTGATTGACCAAATACTCACACATCTCTATTTTACCAGAACGACAACATTGATGTAAAATTGTTTCACCATCTTCCTGTCGGGAAAAGATGTTCATTTTTTTCTCAATCAGTAATCTTACTATTTGAACATTTCCTTCTCGGACTGCATCATGCAACACTGTATTACTACATTTGTCTCTGGCATCTAAAAGTTGGGGATAATTCTTAACTAAGTATTTACAAACTTCAAACTTTCCATTGAGACAGGCTCTATGGAGAATACTTTTCCCATCATTTGACAAAGCATTGGTATCTAATCCTTTATTAAGTAGAAAAGACACAATTTCTACACTTCCTCCACTGCAAGCTGAATGTAACACTGTCCACCCCTCAGTGTCCTTTATCTCCAATAACTCTGGAAAATGATTGACCAAATACTCACACATCTCCATTTTACCAGAACGACAACATTGATGTAAAATTGTTTCACCGCTTCCTTGTAGGGCATAAACATCCATCTTTTTCTCAATCAGTAGTTTTACTATTTGAACATTACTTCTCCAGGCTGCAGCATGTAACACTGTGTTACTAAATTTGTCTTTGACGTCTAAAAGATGGGGATAATTATCAACTAAGTACACACAAACTTCAAACTTCCCATTGAGACAAGCTCTATGCAGGATAGTTTCACCATCATTTGACAAAGCATTCAAATCCACCCCTTTTTGTATAAGAAAAGAAACAATTTCAACATTTCCTCCCCTGCAAGCTGAATGTAACACTGTCCACCCCTTAGTGTCCCTTATCTCCAATAAATCTGGAAAATGATTGACCAAATACTCACACATCTCCATTTTACCAGAACGACAGCATTGATGTAAAATTGTTTCACCACCTCCCTGTAGGGCATTGATGTCCATCTTTTTCTCAATCAATAGTTTTACTATTTGAACATTGCCTCCCCAGGCTGCATCATGTAACACTGTGTTACTAGATTTGTCTTTGACGTCTAATAGATGGGGATAATTCTCAACTAAGTACTCACAAACTTCAAACTTCCCATTTAGACAGGCACTATGCAGGATACTTCTACCATAAATTGACAAGGTATTAATGTCCACTCCTTTTTCTATAAGAAAATACACAACTTCTACACTACCTCCACCGCAAGCTGAATGTAACACTGTGCATCCATCATTATCTCTAACAGATATTAAACATGGATACATATTTACAAGATACCTACACATTTCTTCTTTACCCCCAGCACAACATTTGTGTAACACAGTCCATCCTGTATTTGTTGTATCATTGACATTTAATCCTTTACTTGAAAGAAACTTAAAAAGATCTACGTTGCCTCCTTGAGCTGTGTAATGGAGAACATTGTTACCATTTTCGTCACAGACATTCAGTAATTGTGGGTATCTGTTTAACAGGTATTCACTCATATAATAATGACCATTTTCGCATGCAGCGTGCAGGATAGTTTGACCTGAATTATCTGTTTTATCTCCCTTTGGTATATTGTCACTTGATATATGTAATATATTTTCATTCTTGAAGAGGTTGAGCATATATTCAAACATATCTATGCTTCCACTGTAAGCCGCCCAAAACAAAAGAGTGTCTCCGTGAATATCTGTATGTTCCTGGAGTAATGCAGGATATTTCTCAATAAGGTATTTGACCATGTCTAGCCTACCATCCTGACAAGCACAAGTAAGAACCGTGTGACCACTGTCTCGATCTTTTTCATATGGATCAAAGCCAAACTTTAATAGAAGATTGAATGCATGTTTGTCTCCAGAACTAGCTGCACCTTGTAATGCATTGCTGCCCTGGCTGTCCTTAATATTTACAAGAAATGGATATTTTTCCAGAACTTGTTCAATTAATTGTGTTTGTTGCATCAAACATATCTCCTGCAGTAAGCTATGCCTTATATGTTTCCAGACAGGATGCAAGGAATGAGAAATTTGACGAAGATCAACAGACTCACACACTCGGAGTAATAATTCTATATTACCACTTTGTACAGCATTAAAACACGTTTGAAGATCACAATCCACACCTGATGACAAAATAAGATTAACAATACTTGGTTGATTTTTAGAGCAAGCGGCGTTTATTGATCTGTATCTTTGTCTTTTTTCTGAATTCGGAAGTAAATATTCAACCCATCGCTTATTTCCCACCTTAGAAAAATGCACAACCATTGAATCACCGTTGGTATCAAGACATCCTTTAAACTTCGAGGTGCATTCTTCAGATTGTAATACGTGCTCATGGAAGTGTGAATCATTCCATAATTCCAGTGATGATATGGAAGAAAATCCAATTACAGACCTATCTCCAATTATATTTGCAATGCGGCGGGCAACATATTTAAACAATCTTTGTTCTATGTGAACTTGTGTACTTTTGGGGTTTTTACATGTCGTTAATGTAAGAAGTAGGGACGGATTACACATTTGGATAATTTTTTCAGAATCAAAATAAAACAAGACACTGAAAAGGGATTCCTGTATTGAACTATGGGAAAATTTGTATGTATTTTCTATCGTGTCATGCGTTATTAAAAACCCCTCAAAACAAAACACACTGTCCTTGAAATCGTTAACATACGAGTTTTGTAGACCTACAAATTCTAAAGAGTAGCGCTTCAACTCTAAATTCAGTCGAGGATTTTCAATCAATTCGACTTCTACTTTTCCTCCATTCAGAAGAAGATACACTAAAACAGCAGATTTAACAGTTCGTTTTTTCAATAATGTTTTGAAGTAGTCTCTCATAAACGATATTGCATTTGGTAAAAATGCAATTACGTTTCGTTTAAAATCTTCATTGCTTTTTGCTAATTTACAACATTGTGGAAACCCTATAGCTAGTGGCATTTCATATACCTTATGAATAAGTTCTTTGTCTTTTATGTATTCAGATAGCCCATATTTTTCTGATAGCTGCAGGATCTCTTCCTTGAGCAATGCATTTTCTTTCCCTGATAGGTCAACCAAGGACGACATAAAAAAATCGTCATTGCACTCGTTTTGTATGCATTCCTGATATATATCATTTCTTAAAGCAAATATCAATCTGTTAGATTTATTATCAATGTCACTTTCAATTAAAACCTTTATCATATCTGATCTAGCTTTGCATTCTTGAACGTCATCGCTGGACAAAGAAAACTCACCAAATAAATTGTCAATAAATACCACTATACCATCACCTGGTGATATGTTTTCATACAAATCTGTTAACTTGTAAAGCTGAAGAGGAGATTTTCCTTCCTCCATCAATTCTTTCATTAACATCTTGGCGATTGTGGTTTTTCCAGTCCCGGGGTTTCCCTTGATGACGACATAACCGTTATTGTCCAACAGTTCCTTGGCTCTCTCAAACGCATGAGTTTTTACAAATAGATGACCAACAGCTTCATAATGTTTTTGTATCATTTTCTTAGTTGTTTCTGAAAAGAAATGATAGTTATCTTTAAGGAACATGGACTTAATGTCTCTAAGATTCCAGAATTTATCTATTTATTAATTAACGGTGATATGCTCAATGGTATGTGCAAAATTGTATTGTTGCTTAAAGTCAAGAGTGTTTTAGCTTCAAAGATAATTAATCAATTTAGACTACAGGAATTATATTGTATACAAGAGGCCCATGGGCCACATCGCTCACCTGGGTACTGTGCCTAGGACAAAAACGATTTAGTAAATGCCTAAGTGGTCCCGATCCTAAAAAGTGGGTATGATTTGAGCAAACTATGCAAACTTGAATGCATACTAACTAAGGACGCTTACATATTTGTTTGACGAACTCTGACTTTTCCCTATTAGTTTGAACTTTTATTGTGGTCCCACCCAACCGGGGGTAAGAATGCGTGGGTCATGATTGTAACAAATCTGCATCTAAACTACCCGAGGATGCTTCCATATAAACAAGACCAATCATCTTTTTTGTTCTTGAGAATATTTTTCATATTTAGAATACTCCTATGTAAAATTGTGATTGTCCATACTGGCCGCACCCCACCCCCGGGAGTCATGATTTAAACAATCTTGAATCTTCACTATAACATGGATGCGTCCATATAAATATGACGAATTATATCTTTGCTGTTCTCAAGAAAAAGGTTTTTTAAAGATTTTTTTTTTTTTGCTTTATATATCTATGTAAAACTTTGATTGGTCATTGTGGCCCGCCCTAGCCCCAAGGACATAATTTGAACAATTCATGAATCTACACCACCTGAGTATGCTTTTTTTAAAAAAAATTCCTTTACAAATCTGTGATCGTCCATTGTGGCCCCACTTAACCCCAAAAGGTCATGATTTAAATAAACTTGAACTTATACTACCTGAGTTTCATCTTTCCTGGCAGAGTGGTTCTTGTGAGGAAGATTTTTGAGAATTTCATTTTTTAAAGAAATTCTTAATTGTCTCACCCTGTAATTGGGCATGGTACTTCATTTGAACAAATTTGAATCCCCTTCACCTAATGAAATTGTGAAAAGCTTACAGACGGACAGACAGAAAGACGCTGGACAAAATGTGATCACTTGCTGGTGTTAAAATCATCTAATAATAAATTTCACAGAACTGACACAAATGATTAATGATATATAAATCAACGAATTCATGAAGAAAAATTAAAAAAGGAAATACATCCTCCGCATTTTTCAATAAGTATGTTAATGAAAGGAACACGGATATTAATTTCTTTCATTATGCCATTAAGGCTCTAATGTCGTACTGGATCTTATCTAGGCCTTTAAGACCAGGAATTTTTCCATAACATAAACAAACATGCATTATTAACATACTAAATTTTGTTGTCTTTTGTTACCAGTAGGCATCCTGGAATATCTAAATATGAAATATCAAGCCATTTATTTAATATTTATTTTATCTAAATATTATCCTACCGATCTTTCTTGCAAGTCTTGGATCTACAAAAAAAAAATAATAAATCTGTAAAAGAAGTTATATTTCATGATATATTCATCAGAAAATTTATAATGGACTGAAGTCAGCGAGTTTGTTTATTTAAAGAATGTATTGCGAAACAGGAATGTATAAACTCTTTCTAAGAACCTGAGAATAGTTGACGCATTTTGCTAATTCATGAAATCCCAAATATCGTGCATTACTAATGTGCTTTGTAGTATCAGTAATACTATTCATTGTATAAAAATTAACACTGGCAAACTGGATTTCCTATTTTGATCATCTCGTTTTTACAATCATCATGACATGCAACTTATATGAGATATTTACCATGAAGCGCCAATTCTCTTTGCATAATCAGCATATTACCTAAGAAATAGGAATAGATACAATAAATTAAAAGTTAGATATTTTTTTTTATAATTTTCATATTTCAACATCTGATAATTATCAATCTGATGAAATGTTTATTAAGTATTATGATAAGTTATGTCTAAAATCTTGAATGCTTTGCCATTTCTGTCTAAATCCATCAAAATATTCCGAGTAAAATGATGCAAGAATCATTAAGCCGTAAATGAGAGGAAGGCTTATAATTACTTACTCGATAAATAATCCACAGTTGTATGAAGTTCTCTGATATCTCCAAGTAAATCTATGTATTTTTTCTCTTGTTCTGGGTCCATAGAGCAGGTTTTTATCTCGATGACTGCATCCTGGTATATCGTGGTTGTTCCTAGGTGTCGCTCTAGCTCCACTACAATGTCCCGGATGTTCCGCCATTCCTGTCTAAATTCTGAATCGGATAGGGACAGATCAGCTGAATGTCCGTAATACTGGTTTCTGATGAGACGAATTCTTTCAATGTTGGCGGCCACGCTTCTGTCTCCGGGGTCCGGAATCTCTCCCCAACCTTTATAATGCGCTGGTATTGTACTTACATTGCGTATAAGCATATACAATAAAGATATGTCTAAGTCTGAATAATCACCACTGTATTGTTCTGTTGGTTTGGGGAATATTATCTCTGATTGTGATTTGTTGAGGGGATTTCTTTGTCCACGTGGGAGTTTATCTGTAAATTCTTTAACCTTTTTTGACAAATCAGATGGTAGCACTTCTGTCTTTAGGATGTCACGTAACACATCAGTACAAGGACCCAGTATAAGCCTCGCCAGTCGAGCAGTGTTTGTTGTTTCTGGTGTAGAGGTATAGCACTTGGATAAAGACATACTGTGGCTGGTTTAACAATGTTTGATAAATGATAGTATTCTATCCTCGTCATAGAAAGAAACCTTCAAAAAAAAAGATTTTCTTATATAAATTGTAATGATTGGAAACAAAATACATCCTTAATCTTAAACCTAACATCAAAACACATTTTGTATAGTCAAATCGATTAAAATCCATAACCTTTAAGAACATACATTGTGATGTGTGTTTTTATATAATTTGATTTTAATTGCATCGTATAATTTAATTGGAGAACACTACCATAATATATTATATAACCAGGGTGGTGTATACCACGATGATGTACAAAAAAACCTTTCAATCCCCTTGACGTGGCACCTGATCCTACCTCTGATTTCTTAGATGTTCTTGTATACTCAACTTTTATTTTGTTATGATTGGTGGACTTTTGAGCTCGAGTACTGTTCATTATCCTCTTAAATTCCTTATAAAATTTGTACACTCTGAATGCAGTTCGAAAGGAGCAATTGTCTAATGTCTGTACATCATGATGGAAAATTTTATTATACAGTTTCATTGCTACCCAAGTTACCCCGGTATAACCTAGGTTGGAACAGGTAAAACATTTTTATAAACTCTTATATTGCAGACGATTCAGTTTCGAACCAAGCTACCCAAGTTACCCCGGTATAACCTAGGTTGGAACAGGTAAAACATTTTATAAACTCTTATATTGCAGACGATTCAGTTTCGAACCAAGCTACCCAAGTTACCCCGGTATAACCTAGGTTGGAACAGGTAAAACATTTTTATAAACTCTTATATTGCAGACGATTCAGTTTCAAACCATTATAAACAAAATTGTCATCTGCCTTATGAAAATCTACAAAACAGGCATAAAGTTTTTCTTCTTTATCATCCGTGGGAATCCGAAGATGTAGATATCACAGGTTCTTGGAAATCCCTGTACCGTACCCCAGTGTGATTTTTTTTGACAAAAAGAAATATTTTTCTATGACATATTCATAAAGTATTACAACCCAAAAACCAAAATTTAAGCTTCCTCATTCCGGGAAGAAGACTAGTTTAAGCCAGTTACAAATTCATACCTTCTGATACTAAAACAGAAACAGATAGTGACATCTCTAATGTAAAGGGCCAATCTCTACAACTTGACAAAAGCAGAAAACATAGAATTTCGAAGAATTGGTATGACAGACAAGGAATTCATGTATAATTTCCTTAATTTTATTTTCAGTAGAGGGGTAGGGGCAAAGTACATGAACTTGCTTTTGATCTTTTTTGAGTACTGTGACACGAATTCAAAAAAAAACTTGCCTTCTGAACAGTTTTGCAGCTTAAAATACCTAAACGGACAAATTGAAAATTGTAATTTAATTTTTTAAAATAAAACCAAGGAATTCATGAGACATTTTCACAATTAATTAAACTGCAGTCTAAACTGGTCTTTGTGAAATGTCGCTTATAGTGTTTCCTGTTTTTTGGACTCAAAACCATCTCTTTTCAAATTGAATGTCCATATTTCTCTCAATTTCAGGTGCGTAAGAATTTCAATATATACTCATGTCTTGTTCCGAATTATTGGTAGAGATAAAAACGCACACGGCAACATCTCGCAAACAATATTATTACCTAACCTACTATATAAATTATAATTAGGCATTTTGAACTGTTCCACGCTTTACTATATGTTTTTGCGTGATCATGAAACAGTGAACTGTTGACCGGGCCACAGAATGAACTGTTGCCTGTTTAAAGCGTCATCGTGATATTCAAGCGTTTTGATGATCACAACATCACTATACACAACTAATTGAGCCACGTACGTGTTACATATGGTTGCACATAATACATGTATCACGTATGTGAAATGTACGCATCACATACGTGTATTACATTTCACGTAGGTGGTACAACGTACGTATAACATATGTGTGACTACATACGTTTCACATAACGTACGTTAAACGTATGTTTGGAATACACGTATGTGTTACATACGTGAAACGTACGTGTAACATATGTTATGTGCAACCATACGTTACACGTATGTAAATAGACGTGCGGTTTACATGTGTAATGTCAACCACATGCTACACGTATGTTAATGAACACATGGTTTACATGCGTATTATAAACCAAATGTTACACGTACGTTAATTATTTCATGGTTTACATGTGTTTTATAAAACACTAATGTCATGTATAGTTTATGTGTATTATAAACCTCACATTAAATATACTAATGTACATAAATAAATTATGGTTAACTTGAATTTTAAAGCTCTTGTAACGTGAAGCAGTCACCCATCCAAGGGTTAAACAGGCTCGCTGTTGCTTCACTTGCCTGAAATAGAGGGAGACTATACCGCATCACCAGAAAAGGTAGCTCACTTGCGAGGCAGTATAAGTTCCCTATATACTGTCCGCTACCCTCTCATTACATATATGTTGATGAATATAGTAACTGTATGTGTATTATCAGGCACATGTTACATTTACATTTACCGGTAAAAAGGTGTTTTACATGTGTGTGAAAAGCTATGTTTGAGAATGAGAAGGCTGTATATATTGTAAATTTATACTACTACATACATGTATGATAAATGTAGGTTGACTATAAATCTAATCCTTTTTATTTTATTTCAAATTTTATTTATTAATCAAATTATCATTTAGTTTTTGCTTAAAAGAGAGAAAAAAAAATGCGTTAAACATTTATTGTTGCTAGGGACTACATAATTTCGTTTAAAATACAGGAACTTTTTGTATAAAAGTATGACTGACTTCCACAACTAACTATTTTTCCTTAATAGTCTAAGTGATTTTGGAGAACTATAATCAAGATATTATTTAACATAACAATTAATAGGCACTTTGGGCTTAACCTGTTACTCAGGAAGAAGAGCAATCATAGTGATATGACCATCCATAAAATCCTTCTTATAGCATGTATAACGGGTCCTTAGATCAGAAGCTGCATGTATTTGAATAATTATAATATTTAAAATCTAAAATATCTTTTTTTGACATAAACATTATTATGATATTTGGTTAAACCTAGGGCTGGGCAATAATATCGATATTTCAATATATTGCAATACAATGACAAAAAATATCGTATCGCAATACGATTTTGTAATTTCGATATATTGGCAATATGCTTACATTAAAGAATTTTGTCATTAAATATAAAAATAAACTTATGAAAGATTGTTATTAAGCCAAACAGTAAGTCAGAAGTTGTTTTGTGGGAACATTTCAGAGCATAACTTAAATGAAATCATCAAGATTTTTTTTCCGTGTTGGTTACTTATCATGTTATGTACATTCTGCATGTAAATTAAAGTAAATTTAGTGAGAAAATGTCATTTTTATGACATTGAAAATATTGCAATACATATCGCAATACAGTTAAAAATATCGCAATATATCGCAATACGAAATCTCGGGCCAATACCCAGCCCAAGTTAAACCCAATCACAACTGAAGCTCACATGTGTGTGCGTTGTTGACTTCCCGTGTGTGTTTTGCGTATTTAATGTTTCAATTTATTTCACATTGTTTACCTTACGTCCACTTTCATGTCTGGCATAATGTTATCAGTTTGCATTGGTTTAAAATTTACTCTAAAAACAACTAACAAAGTTTACATAATCAAAGTACTGAAAGTACTGGGAAGCGCTAAGCATATTGATTTGAAATTCGTCAGAATTATTTTAATTTAAAATGTCCTGTTGTATTGAATTTTAAGCGATATTTTGACAGTGCGAAAGCGCTAGGTCGAACACAGTTGTCAAAAAGTATGCGGGTCCTGAATATGTGAACCCCGTTGGGATATGAAATTCAACATTGTCTCATGCCTTTTTTTCAAGCATTATACATTATCTTCGTACATGTATGTTAAAATATCAATTAATTTATCTTACAGTACTGTACACGTAATTGCCAGAAAATATTTTTGCGTGTAAAAATATTTTCCTTCCCCATCGCCTTGTAGGAATCTATAATTAAGAGGTCGTATTTGCGTATAAATTGCAATTTATTGGAAGGGAGATGGTAATCGAGTTTTCCGATGAAATTTCAACTCTAAATGTACATGTTGCTATACTTTTGCTGGAAAATGTATACATTGTATTTTAAAAAAAAATGTGAACACTTGAAAATGTCGCTAAAATTCCTCTCAATTACGTGCAACACTGAAAGATAATATCTTCTGGTGATCATATTCAATAACAAATTCATTCTGCGTTTAACTTTACAAGTTTTTTTTTTCAAATTAAATATTGACATCATGTTTGTAACAACGTCATACGACAAAACTATATGTAAATGAAATGAACATCCATAGAATTAACGCCCTTTATGTCAGAGATAATATATGTAAATATACAATTTAGTATAAAGATATTACAGCAAAACTCGTTTAGTACGAACACGGATATTGCGAATGTACGGATATAGCGAAGTCATCTTGGATCCCCAGCTATATTAATTTAATGAATTTCTTATACGGTTATAACGAATTACGGATATAGCGAAGTAATTTCATATGTCCATGTAACTTCGTTATAACCGAGTTTTGCTGTATATTTATCTTTTGATGCTATCCTGTAATCTCTGATTTTCAAATATATGATTTATAGCGCACATGTATTTGCAGTAACATTTGTGTTGATATAAATGTTGCAATAAAAATTTTACACGTTTTTATCTTTGGATTAAAAATACATCATTAAACCCCAAAAGTATTTTTGACTATTGTTGAAATAATTTAAAATGCTTCAGTATTTTTGCGGACGCTTGGTGCTTTTCACCATTCTTTACTTGTGTATTTATGATCTTCACTACCATGCAAAACATGTTGAGAGGAAAAACATATCTACGGCATTGTAGTGCTAATTAAAAAGGAATACTGAAAATAATTGCTCATAATATTTCTGCTCTTTCAATGATTTTAAAATAATTCAAGAGTCCAAGAAGGAAAATACAGTATTAATCTCAAGTATTAATAAATCTTCATGAAGGTATACAACATTAGTTTATTCTAATTTTATTTAGTCTTCATTAAGAATCGGCAACATATATGAGACACATCTTTACATAAACTATTTCTAGTTCCCTACTTCAAGTATTACACCGTTTGCTTAACATTTCATCAGTCGTATTTCTGTCCATTGCTAAGAACGTTAATTAAGGTTTTAGCATTTTTCGCCATATCCTGCACACTACACGCACAATTTTAGAGCACAATGCATGTATTCCGAGAAATAAGTTTTACTATTTGAGTGGATTCGTTGAAAACACACCCACCACATGCTCTACATGTCTGTACAACCCAAACTGCCCTTCCATTTGAATTATGTAAACACAAGTATAGGTCTACATTAAAAAAGACCATCCTTGAATGCATTCCAGTCTGTTACTAATTGATACTTAGATGCGAAAATCAACTTCACTGATAAATCTCAGCATGGTGCAAGATGTTAGTAGAAAGGCTTGTTTTAGTTACATTGTCTGAAATAATTGTCTAGAAGAAAAAAATAATTATAGTTTATATGGATATATATAACGTACCATATTATGTAAGTAGTACATTGTAAATCAATTTTATGTGATTTCTTTTACTGAATAACTCACTTCAAGTGTGAGATTTAAAACCTTATCAAAATCCCATCTGAGTTTTAAACCATGTAAAGGGTACGTATTGTATATTCACTCACTATATTGCATGTACATGATAACTAATATACTTTTTTAATTAAGTATTTGCGCCATAGAGGCAGCAATTGTAAGCTACGTGGTACCAAATTAATGTGTGCCGACATTGTTTAAATGAACTACAATGTATAGAGAAGAGCATGATAAGAACTGCTCTTATCTACTAACTGTGGAACATCCTTAAACCCTACTAATTGCCTTCTATTATCAGAAATGCACGTAACGCAGCATCACACTAAAATAGCAGAAAGAGAGTCAGGGATTTCCAGTTGCATATTTTTAGAATAACAAGGGAGTTATCTATCTTGCTTATAGTGGCGCTGGATCCGGGACGGAAGTAGATTTAAGCTGACAAAAAGCGCTTTGCGCTGCGCTTAGCGTTTAAAAAGTTCTCCAATCTCGTCATGTGTATCGGATATCGGTAGAGGCACATAAAATTGAACTTGGTCATCGGTAGATATAATCAATCCGAATTCAAGAGCAAAACTAAATTAAAACTAGAGGTACTGTGAGCAATGGGCTCACTTTACCCCCGCCTCCCATATTATAAATCGCAGTGTCCATGATTTGCTATTGGAAACCCAAAATATGCGTCGGATCAAAAAGTAAAATAGGAGGTGCACAATGGCAATATGTAATAAAGATTCTTTGAAAGTTGCATAAATTTCATTTCATGGTATGAAATTGCGGATCATTTTCAATGATTTATACGGACATCTTTACATAAACGATTTGTAGTTCCCTACTTCAAGTATTATACCGTTTGCTTAACATTTTCAGTCGTATTTCTGTCCATTCAAAAGGCAGAAAATGATTCACTTATCAAATTAATTATAAAATATACCTTCCGGAATTTTCCAGCCTCCAAGGTTTTAGACGTTTGTTGCCATATCCTGAAATGTTCAATTTTAGAGCACAATGCATGTCTGCTGAGAAATAAGTTTTACTATTTGAGTGGATGTTTTCATTTAAAACACACCCACCAGTGTTCTTCTACATTTTGGTATTTCAACCCAAACTGTTGTCTTTATAAGTGATTTAAACTTGTCAAATATGTTCTAAATTTTTTTACAAGTACAGCCTTGAAATATTACAGTAAATTTTTTTTTCTAAAGACGTCTAACATGAAGATCAAAAATTTACTTCACTGATAAATTAAGTGAAATGGTGCAAATGTTACTGAATATTTCATTTATAAGTTTTAGTAATTTTTTTGAAATGTATTTTGTCCATAATTGTTTTTATAGTCATTTCATAAGCAAAATAATTATAGTTTGCATGTATTCTTTTCTTTTGGTTTTTCAACCCACCACATGTTAAACTTTTTATATAATAATTTGTGATTGTTGATGTAATTTTTTTTTTGTTTAGCCAAGGCATTTTCAAATTGTGTTTGTTCAGTGGTATTGAATTAGGATCTTGATTTCTCTGTCTCTCTTCTCTCGGATAAGTTTTGTTTAAATTTCAAAATATTGTCTGAAATCATTTCTCTGAGTTTTAAAGAATATATCAGGGTACGTATTCATTATTTTATGTGAAGTATTTTCAATATCACTATATTGCATTTAAAACCTAAAATGATCACTAATATATTTTTTAATTAAGTATTTGCGCCATAGAGGCAGCAATTGTAAGCTACGTGGTACCAAATTAATGTGTGCCGACATTGTTTAAATGAACTACAATGTATAGAGAAGAGCATGATAAGAACTGCTCTTATCTACTAACTGTGGAACATCCTTAAACCCTACTAATTGCCTTCTATTATCAGAAATGCACGTAACGCAGCATTACACTAAAATAGCAGAAAGAGAGTCAGGGATTTCCAGTTGCATATTTTTAGAATAACAAGGGAGTTATCTATCTTGCTTATAGTGGCGCTGGATCCGGGACGGAAGTAGAATTTACGATTTGCGCTGCGCTTAATTTCTCCAATCTCGTCATGTGTATCTCTCGGTAGAGGCACATAAAATTGAACTTGGTCATCGGTAGATATAATCAATCCGAATTCAAGAGCAAAACTAAATTAAAACTAGAGGTACTGTGAGCAATGGGCTCACTAAATGATACCCCCGCCTCCCATATGAGTATAAATCGCAGTGTCCATGATTTGCTATGGGAAACCCAAAATATGCGTCGGATCAAAAAGTAAAATAGGAGGTGCACAATGGCAATATGTAATAAAGATTCTGTGAAAGTTGCATCAAATTTCATTCAGTGGTATGAAAGGAGTTGCGGATGAGAGATGGGTACCCCAAAGCGTAACAGAGGGACGGACGGAATTAACGATTACTATATACCCTCCCGCTTTTCAAGCGGGGGTATAAAAAAGAAAGAAATTCGCGATAATTTCACAACAAATCTCAAAAGGCAATAAATGATTCACCTAGATAATTATCAAATATAAAGTGCGTACCGTCCGTATAAAACTTATAAAATATACCTTCCGGAATTTTCCAGCCTCCATTTATGTATTTACATGTACGTTACCCGTGACGTCACTGGAAAGAGAAAAATCTGAAAAATGCAAGTTCTAGGGCCTAGCTAACGGTGAGGAATGCATAAAACCAACAATTATTTAATTACTTTATAACTGTGTGTTGCATATGTAAACTAAGGGGGTGGATTTTTTTAGTTTATTACATAATGGAGACTTGGGTTACCAAAAACAGAAAATATTGACCATGTTGAGGCAGTGAGCTGTCCTGGTCAGCACCCAGGTGTATTCATCAACACGGGCACGTTTTATCAAAATGCAGGTGAAATTTAAAAATACTGTAATAACAATTAAGTATTTATTTAAAATGTTTTTTAACCTAACAAATATGATGCAAAAAAAAGAAACGACAACAATTTGATGTAAAGTTCCACTCACTGAATTTATTTCTTTTTACAGAATTTAAAACATCACATTACATATGGTAAAGGAAATTATTATCTTTGAGGGCAATAATGGTGTAACAGTTTTGTTTTAAATATCTGCCCTTTTCCTTTCTTATGAAATAAATTGTGTTTGAGATTGTGATTTTTTATGTGATTTTAGATATGCTTTCCAGGATGGTGACTGAAGCTCATCTTTGTAAACACCTAAATGCCTAGAATGGACTTCAAAACAGATTCTGAAAGTTTAACCAGTATAATCTTTAATATGGTAATACTTTTAAAAAGGAATAAGATTTTCTGATCATATTGCTTTTAGAATTGCAAATACTACATGTAACTTGAAGCTTTTCATGTAAAATTTGAAATGCAATTGAGTTTGACAAATTTCACACTACTAAGAGTTATCTCCCCTTGTCGGCGTAACTCTCGTTTTTCCCACTTTGTCCTTTGTAAGTTACCTGTTATTATTTTCAATCTTCAACGGTTATTGGACAATTTAGATTTGTTCCTGTATTGCCAAAGTTTGGGCAACATGAAAATCTTAATGAACATATTCATTACAGATTTTATTTTTAAGATACTGACCAATAAATTTGGTAAGGTTACAGAGGGAAAACAAGGCCTTACACCGGATTGACCCTGCAAAGGGGAATAACTTTTATAAAATTTAATGTGAAAGTCGTCTATTTTTTTTTTAACATATATTTTTTTTAACCTCAAGGACAAAAAGTATACACATGGAACACACACAAGAACAGATGGGTCCATGCCAAGCTAAAGATTAATGCAGAAGGTAAGTTCAATTTTTCATTTCGCAACTCTTGGTTTTATCCAGACTGGACCTTACATATAAGTTAAGTCGGCTTCAGTATAATAGAAGGATATGGAGATAACGAACAGCAAACACGGACCCCTGAAACATCAGAGGTAGGATCAGGTGCCATAATAAAACACCAATGCACTTACTATTCGGAAAATAGCTTGTTAATCATCTCCCTCGACAGCAAACTATTTCCCTCGGCTGCATCTTGGGGAATAGTTGCTGTCTTGGGGATGATAAACTAGCTATTGTCCTCATAGCCAGTAAATAGGTGTACATGTATACTGTTTTTAGCTCTTCTGAGCAATAGGCTCAAAGAGCTAATGCTATGGCCATTTGTGTGGTGTGCATAATTTTTTTAGAATGTGGGTCATAACTCGAGATCCCCTTGGACAATCATTGTCAAATTTGTCAGAGGGCATCCTTGGCCCAAGGGGTACCATTTATACTAAAACTAGGGTTTGGACCATTATACAAGGGGAGATAATCAGGAAAATAAGACCAAGAGAACTTTATATTGGCCTAGAATTGTTAAACTTTGTCAGTTGAGGCATCTTGGGTTTTTGGAGAATGTCAACCAAAAAGTAGGTCACCATGACCTACTTATGGTTTTTTATAGCTCTATTGAAATATCTTCAGTCCTAACTGGCTAAGAATCATCAAATTTCTCGGTTGATGTATTTTGGGTCTTATAAACTTAGAGGCTTCTAGTCCTAGTGATAGATTGTACAATTGATCAGAAGAGCGATTCAAGGCCGTTGGGTTTCTTGTTGTCCATCGTCATACACTGTGCTCTGTCTGGTAAAATTTTAGCATTTACAGTCTCCTCCCCCCTCACCAACACCCAACCTAAGGGGGGGGGGTTAACCCATCAAAAGTATTCAAAATTGTATTTTTTTAATTGGACATCAAGCAAACTGTTAGCAAGATTTTAATAAGCATTGAGTCCTACTAAAATTATGAAATTCATAAAGGATAGGTGGATCAGATGTAAAGGCACAGCTTTATTAATTAATCATAAACTGAAAATGCATTGATTCATTGAAAATCTATATAATGCTCCTAAGTTGAAAGCAAAAGGACTAAGTTCATGACAATGAGGAACAAGTTTTATACCCCTATAATCAAAGATTCTGGGGTACATCTATATAGCTTTTGCCTGTCTGTCTGTCTGCAAAATCTTTTCACAGTGGCCATATCATTTTATTGGGTGAAAGTATGGCCTTCATATTTCACAGACCTGGGTATTCATTGTGACAATACTTTTGTACTGGTACACCAAATTAACCTTTTGAATTGAACTTGGAGTATGACTCAATTTTAAGAAAGTTTCATAACTTGAATCTTGGCCTTACCTTTTGAACAGCTGGTGCAAGGGCTTTCATACTTCACTTGTATATTTACTGTTACAAGACCTTTCAATGGGTATAAATTAAAACATTTGACCTCAACGTCTAGTTTAACCCACTTTTAAAAAACTTTAACTTTGATCATAACTTTTGAGCTGATAGTAGTACGGCTTTCATATTTCACAGATTTATTCTTTGTGACAAGTCCTTCCTTTGATGTCAACAATTTTGACCTTTGACCTTGACTTTGGAGTTTGACTTGCAATCGGGAAACTTAAACCTTAAGCTGGCATATGGGGTATCAGTATGTTATAACAAACACATTTTTTTTCCAAGTCACCCACAAATAAATGCCATTTAATGAATTTTAGATAAGAGAATTACAAGGTAGATATTTGAGGATATAGAGAAAAAAAAATAAAAAGATCATGGTTATGAATACTAAAAAAATAATAATAGTTATTTAGTATTTATATTTATACCCCCCGCAAACGAAGTTTGGGGGGTATATAGGAATCACCTTGTCCGTTTTTTTTGTCTATCCGTCTGTCTGTCTGTCTGTCCGGTCCATATCTTTCTTACAGAGGGACATTAGTATCTACTACTCCACACTAAGATTGCTCATGACCTAAGGGTGTGTCATGACCTTGACCCAAGGTCATTTGGGGAAGTTCAAGGTCACTGGAAGAAAAATTTCATAATTCATGTTTGATACATATCTTTTATGGATAATCTTGGTAGGTTTTCATTTCACACAAAGATTGCCCATGACCCAAGGGTGTGTCATGATCTTGACCTTAGGTCATTTGGGGAAGTTCAAGATCATTGGAAGAAAAATTTCATAATTCATCTCCAGTCCATATCTTTCTTATGGATAATCTTAGAAGCTTTTTATTTCACACAAAGATTGTCCATGACCCAATGGTGTGTCATGACTTTGACCCAAGGTCATTTTGGGAAGTTCAAGGTCACTGGAAGAAAAATTTCATAATTCGTGTCCGGTCCATATCTTTCTTATGGATAACTTTGTAGGTTCTCATTTCACACAAAGATTGCCCATGACCCAAGGGTGTGTCTTGACCTTGACCCAAGGTCATTTAGGGGAAGTTTAAGGTCACTGGAAGAAAAATTTCATAATTTGTGTCAGGTCCATATCTTTCTTATGGATAAACTTGGTAGGTTCTCATTTCACACAAAGATTGCCCATGACCTAAGGGTGTGTCATGACCTTGACCCAAGGTTATTTGGAGAAGTTCAAGGTCACTGGTAGAAAAATTTCATAATTCGTGTTTGATACATATCTTTATTATGGAAAAACTTACTTCTGAAAAACCCAGCGGGGGGTATTTTGTTCCGTTTGGACAGTTCTAGTTAAGTTCTACAGGGAATTAACCAGGATTAATGTGTGGATAATAATAATGTTCAGGGGGGAAAAATGGGTTTTCCCTTATTCCATGCATTTAACATATTCTTTTTCTTTACAGATAAAAGAGAACTGGAGAAGAATGAATTGATGTTAACATACTCAACATTAAATTTGGCTTAAATCTATATATGTCTTTTGTTGTGATTGCTTCAAGAGCAATTAGGTTCAGGAAATTTAATGTGAGGGATAACCAGAAAGTGGATCATTCAACAGATGAAAAGAAAATAAGCCTTTGAGAGAAATTATGTCAAATGCATGAATTGAATATTTAAATTGCACGTAATTTTTGTTTCACCGTTTACAATATGTGAAAAAAAATGTTCAAAACATGTGTTTAACCAAGGTTTGACACATTTTTGTATGGTATTTATACATTTACAATATGAGCAGTGAAAATAATAAACCCATTAAACATGTTATGAGAAACATATGTTACACACATGTTGCACGTACGTTATTCATATGTGAAACGTTTGAGTAACGTACGTGTGCAACATGTGTAACGTATGGTAGGCAAAACGTATGTTTAACATACGTGACACGCATGCTATTCACATGTGTGAAAACGTACATATAACGTACGTGGTGCTTTTTTCATGGAAAACGTACGTGAAGTCAGGTACGTGTCACATACGTTTAACGTACGTGGCACAATTAGCTGTGTATTTACCTGCTCTATAATTAATCAAATTTAATTAAAACACACAAACAATCAATTTATTAAGTATTACTTTAAATTAAAAATATTAATTTAATCTTTATATTATGTGTTCAGCTAATTAAAAGACAAGTATGTGAATAAACAGTTGTGAAAAAATTTTATTGATTGTTTGTGTGTTTTTATTCCAATTTAATTAATTATATAGTAGGTTAGGTAATAAAACACTTATTCAATGACTACTTGGTGAAACAGTCAAAATGTTGTCCCTCGGTAGTGGGGGAGACCTGGGAAACTGTTGGCCTCGGCCTTCGGCCTCGGGCAACAGTTTCCCAGGTCTCCCCCACTACCTCGGGACAACATTTTGACTGTTTACCTCGTAGTCATTAAATAAGTGTATATTTACAATAATTGTCACATAGGTAACATTAAAAGATGATTATTGATGAAAATTGGCTAAAAAAAAATATACCTCAGAATGTCATTCATATGGTTCTAGAGGCTGACAATAATGAATATTATGAATTTTCACAAAAATATTATACTTGACCTTTAATTGTCCCTAAATTTTACAGATGGTGTTTTACACAGCATACGTTTTTGTCATTTCTTATGCAATGCTACATGAACTTGAAGATGCAACTCAGACTAAGGAACATACCGTTTAAAATAAGGTTAGCATAATATCAAATATGACTTAAATTTTAAAGCATCCAATGTATTTAACATAAAAAACTGGGGAAAGTTTCATATTAAACGGCGACGTTATATTTCTTTTAAATGGAAATTTTAGCATAAAAACAATTGATGTGGACAAACAGAACAAATTAAGAATACAGTCTCAGCAAAAACAAAATAATGAGCACATTTTTCTCTGAAATTGGTGAATTGAAAAAGTTTCAATGCAACCTTAACAACAAAAATCTTCCATTCATATGTCGAATCGATGAATTCCAGTGACATTGAAAGAAAAGAAACCACAAATTCTGACATATCGGTTTCATATTTTGATATTTACTAGAAAAAAAATAATAGTCGGAAGGATATGGAGATAACGAACAGTATTCGATATCAAAGTCCATAAAACAATACAAAATAGGAGCAGAGCAGAAAGGGAGCTGTAGCTCCGAAACATCATAGGTGGGATCAGGTGCCATGGTGGAGTGAGCATCCCTTGCTGACCGGTCAAACCCCCCGTGTGCTCCTCAACATGATCGTGAAATAACGGATAATATTCATGAAAATCTTAATGGCTTAAATTTTAAATGACATTTTTAAGTTCAACTGAACATAATGCAGATATGATTGATCATATCAGAACAGCAAAAATGTTCCTATACAAAATACTTCCGAATATTAAGACCCTCTGTAAACACATATACTATTGTGTGTATAAGTATCAGGATCCTATAAATAATTAGGATGTGTGCATAATGTTTAATGAAATTGTTGGTTTTAATTTTTAAAAAGTAATATGCATCAAAACAAAGAAAATTTGTGAAAGGAAAGGCAAACACCGTATTTTCTATGATGTATATATTGCAGAATGATTCTACTTACCACTCCTACGGATGCCTATAATCTAAACTTATTTATATATGTAGTGATCAAATTTATGAATCTCGAAAACTTCCTTATATAAACCTAATAGTGCGTGGATCAAATCAAAATATCATTTATATTGGAAACTGTATATTGAACACCGAAGCCTTATTTATATATATATATATATATATGTGAACAGCCATTATATTTAAGTGTTTTAAGCAATGTCTCTGATCATATTTTAAACTGAAGCCTGAATGATTCTACTTACCACTCCTAAAGGAAATATATATATATATATCAACTTTTTTTTTTTTTTCTAATATTACAGAATTTTTTGGAAAGGCAAACAATATATATTCTTATATATTTATATATAAACTTCCTTATATAAACCTAATAGTGCGTGGATCAAATCAAAATATCATTTATATTGGAAACTGTCTGTATATTGAACACCGAAGCCTATCTATTGATATTTATCTCTACTCATCTTTTTTTAACACCTTGTTGTAAAAAAGTATATATATATGTGAACAGCCATTTATTTCTAATTTAAGTGTTTTGAACAGTTGGCAAGCAATGTCTTGTATGTGTAACATCAACAATCCTTCCCTATACTAAAACACTTCAACAAAGTTCAAGCTACAGTTTGAAAGCTGAAGCCTCGTTTCCTGTTTTTAGCTGAAGGGTGTGAGGAGATCCTGATACCAAAGGAAATTATGATTTTTTTTAAAAAAGTAGTTGTTTATGAAGGTGACTCAAATAAGAAAATAATATCCAGTCGTATTTTATTTGTTTTCTGTTGGATTATAATAACACAGAAATTTTTTTTTCTCGCCTCTCCTAATATAATATTATCTTTATGTTCTTATATTCTTCTTAATCTATTTTTTCAAATATTTATATCTGTCTCTGTGAGTATTCACTTCTAACTAGTATAAATGTACATTTATAAATGACAGATAATACAAACTTCTACTTTTCAAATGTGCACCTGAACTCACCATTCACTAAAATTTAAAATACAATTAACAGCAGTAACAGTTTTTAAACGTTCCCATTGCTTTGGTTTAATACGGATTCGTATATTTTTCTTCAAAAAAGAATAATCACATTTAGACTGATGACAGACTTCCTTATACGAGTTTTACATTATAAAAATATTTTACATGAATGGATACATTGTATGAATTGTGAACAATGTCTCTCAATACTAACGAAAGGACGATAACTCATCACGGTCTACAGTATATACCTATTTATATGAAGAGGACATGCAATGGTTAAAGTTGAACACGACTGGTAAATTTTCGATATCATTATCTACGACATTTCAACACTAGGATATACATAGACATAGTTTTCTCATAGTAAAATATTAATTCATACAAAACGAAACGGCATATGCTATATCATCTACCTTTAAAATAGTTTTTAAATTATCAAATGAAACCTATCGCCAGAAATTTGCTCATTAGAATCCTTTTTTCTAAATGACCGTGTTTTAATTAGAAAATCCATGAAAATTATAAAAAAACGAATAAATTCCCTTTTCAACTTGCTCTCATCTCTTTTTATCTTAGCATATATTTGCTTTTGGTGCAATAAAGCGTGGCTTGTTTGAGGATACGAGGACCAGTAATGAATGTACATATGTATTTGAACATGCTGTGCAGAAATTT